TGGTTGTGCTTGCGCTTGCGGCCAACCATCACGCCGATGAAGAGAAACGTGCCGAGGAGGTTCATCTGCGCGCAGCAGAAGCCCCATCGCCAGGCAACGGGACGCGCACATTGTAGTCGTCGTCGAGGATTCCAAGACATTGACCCCAGGAGCCCATACATATTCAGGCTTGTTTTGTGTCATGCAGCGCAGCGAAACAACAACAGCGTAGCCTACTGCCGTCTTCGTGCAACCACGCGGTTAAAAGTCTATGTTTCCACGCGCTTGCGACACCGTTTTCGGTAGCGAGAGGAAACGAATAATGCCTAAGGTGCTCATATGTTCAAGGGCGCTCTGTTCTTGTCTTCCTCATCAGATTGTCCTGCCTCTGCCTCTCTCTTTCTCTGTCTGTCTGTCTGTTTTTTTTGTTCCTCTCTCTCTCTCTCTCACCGTTTGGGCCATTCGGGTCGGGCTCGGCGGGATCACCTCGGGGCCGTGTGGGCGTCGCAGGATGAGAAGAAGTGTTGAGATGAGCAGGATCGGCTTCGGGATGCTTATGAGTCGTTGAGGAAACGCAAATCTGGATGAAGGCGCTTGGACTAGCGACGGGTTGCGCTTCCGTGCGAACATTGGCGCGCACCTCCGCCAAATCGGGGGCACTGGCGTCACCCGCGCCCACGTGCCATACCTGCGGACCTGTGATCTTTTTTAGGGAGTGCTTGAATGTTTTTCTTTGCGCAGCACGCGCGCTTTTGCTCTCCATGACCTGAGCGTCCCGCGTAAATTTGGTCATCATTTCGCGACCTAGGTCTGCATCGAGCAAGCTCAAAACATATTATGAACCCAGCGCGACCCCAAGCATGGTTGTCCCCTTTGAAGAGGAGCCCGGGGATGCCGAGGGACCCGGGGAGCCCGAGGACCCGAGATACCGGGGGAATCTAGGGAACCCGAGGAACCCGGGGAACCCGAGCAGTCTCCGGGAAACGGGCAGCGTAACCACATGGGAGGCACCGGGGGCGGGGAACCCGTAGAACCCGAGGAACCTCCGAGCAACGGGCAGCGTCAGAATACCAGGGCACTTACCTGGAACCAAGTAGAACCTCCTCAGGCAAGCCCTATTGGGGGAAGAGAAGGGAGAAGGGCCAAGGGGAGGGCCAAGGGGAGGGCCAAGCCTGGCTCCTCCTCGGCTCCCAGGCGCCCGGCCCCTGTCGCTGGCCCGGCCGCCTTTCTTCCTCGGTGCGATGTGCTGCCAAGACGCTCGGCCCGCTTACACTGGAAACCCATGCCAAGAAGCAACCTGCATGCCTCCAGGGTGCCCTGGGTTTCGATGGTTTCGGTGGTTTGGCGATGGAGAGCGTGGCGCTCCCCACACCAAGCATCAGTGGACGTCCTGGGGTCTCAGGGTCGAGTTTCTTGTGGAAGGCTTCTCGTGGTCGAGCTCCTGCTGTAGGCTTGCCCGCGCGGAGCGGGCACCCGCGACGTGACAAGGTAGTGTGCCCGAGTGAGGGAGCCTCGGGAGGCCCGGGCTCCGCCTCCTCCTTGTCGCTTTGTCGGTTCTTGCTCACTCCGACGCCAGACCTGCGTGTTGCTTAGTTGTCGCGTCCGTGCGCAGAAGTGCAAACGCCGTCTCTCGGATGCTGAGCGTGGACCTTGGCCATGCCAGGCCCCAGCTTCCCCTCGTGTCCTCCGTCCCGCGACCAACTCGGATTCGATCGGCCCCATTTTTGCTCCGCTGAGGTTTGAATTCCATACTCGCAGGGGTGGCGGGTGTGTGTGTGTGTGTGGATATCGGTGTTGGTTATGCGTAAAAGGTGTGAGCCAGCGTGGGCTCCAAACAGTGAGTTATTGCACTGTGGAGGTGTATGTAAGATGTGGAGGGTATGCGGTGCAAGCTTCGTCGTGTAATCTCAGCGCACGGGGTGCCCACGAGCGCCGACGAAGCGACACGGGCGGAACCTCTCTCAGAGCGTTCCGGAATGCTCTCAGGAGGCCGAGGCGTCCGATACATCCCCCAGAACCACCAGATCTCAGAGACTCCCGATTTCTCCCGATACGACTTTGTCCCGATGCTGCCTCCGTGTTACAACAAGCTTCCAGCGTGAGTTTTGTTCCCCAGTGCAAGGTCTACCAGCAGGTGCCCCACGAAGCAACATCTGATCCCGAGTGGCCCAGGGACCCTCGAGGACCAGTGCCCGAGGATCCCCAGATAGCAGGAATGATTGTCATGCGCGCCTACGGTAGGGGGCCCCTTCTGGCCGCAGGCGGCCAACAGAAATGCCCGTCGTGATTTTCTCCACGACGCGTGGCCTGGGCCATCCGCAGATCCAGACCCCCTTCGACCGCCAGAGGTCTCGACCCATTCCCCGGGCTCGGCGTTTCATCCTGAGTCGTTTTTTGACGGCTCCGAGGCTCGGCAAGGGCCCCCAGATATTGAAAGTGTAGAGAACGTTCGGTCATGATTTTTTAATTGCTCGAGGGGTTCTAGGGACAGCGGCGGCGGCGGCGGCGGCGGCAGCTCGCAGGCATGCTGGCCTGCCGCGACTGGGACGTGCGGCTCGCCGGTGGGGGCGCCACGCTGCTGTGCAGCCCAGGGAACGCAGCTGGCCCGGGGGAGTGCGTCCAGGCCGTGGCGGGGGGCGCCGGCCTTGGCTGTGCGCAAGGGCGGCCCTTCGCCGGAGTGAGGAGGAGGAGGAGGAGGCGGAGAAGGAGAGGGCGGAGGAGGGGGAGGAGGAGGAGGAGGAGGAGGAGGAGGAGGAGGAGGAGGAGGAGGAGGAGGAGGAGGAGGAGGAGGAGGAGGAGGGAGGAGGAGGAGGTGGCCTGCAGCTGCCCTCCCCCGCGGCCTCCGAGAGCCGTGCCTCGGAGGTCATTCCTGCCCAGGGCCGCTCTTCCTGCGTGCAGCCGACGGCCATGGTGGGGCCTCGGGCTGCGCGCACACGGCCCCCGCCAGGTAGCCCTGGCTGGCCTCGAAAGAAAAAATGTCCTGGTTGGCCTCAGGCACCCCCCCTCTAGTCCGGGGCGGTCTCGGCACCCTGGCGCCGCCTCCGGCGGCGCCCCCGGGGCTCTCTGCGCCCCAGGGTTGGGGTGTTGAGACCGCCCCAGACTAGTTGGGGGGCCTGTTGAGGCCAGCCTCGACCAACTGGGGAGGCTGTCTGTGCGCAGCTCGAAGCACTACCAGCAAGCCATCTCGGAAACATTTGGACGTGCGGCCGCCGCTCGGACGTCGGGATTTCGTGTCTTTTGTTGCTGTTGATGGGCTTCTTCACGTGTCCGCACGCTTGGCCTGCACCTGTGCAGGCCGCTCTGCGGGGCTGGGAGGAGCTCGGTTATCTTCAGCAAGCCTCGAGGACAAGCAAACAATGCATTCGAATCTCCCGTCCGAGTGACGGCAAGGGGACGTGGGACACCAATCGTCACAGGCCCAGTGGGGCAACAGCGGTGGGGTGACAGGGGGCTTGTGCTGGCTGGCAGCTGAGATGTTGGCAGATTTCGGTCTGCGGCGCTGCTGGGTGTTCCTGGGTGTTGACAATGAATATTCACTGCAAGCATTTGCGCCGTGTGGTACCGAGCGTCGCTGGGTAACTTCTGATCCCTCCACCATTGCCCCACCCCTCCCCGCTAGTCTGCTCCAGTTATTTGCTTTCCGAGGATCTAGGGTCGAGGACCCAATGTGTTTGTTGTGTGTACGTATGTCTTCATTCCTTTTGTCCTGGCGCGGCCGCCTTCGTCTTCTCCTCTGTCTCTCTCTCTCTCTCTCTCTCTTTCTGTTTTTTTTCCTCTCTCTCTCTCTCTTTCTCTTGTGCACGCCAGACAATTTGTCCATCGGTTGCCCCGATTCGCCCCACGCTGGTGCGGACTGCCTCCGCCTCGACGCCAACGAACAAATGTTCCTCTTGTCCGCGCCCCGCGCTTGCACTCGCGATGCTGCCGGCACTCTGGCGGAGGAGGACAAAATGTCTGTGAGAGTGTGCGCGTGTGCTGTCCGGCCTCGCTTCCCGACTCCTGTCGCTACACGCGCGCTGGACAGCGAGCTTCCGTCTTTCACCTTGGGCTCATGAATTGGAGGCTTCGAAATGGGCACCAGGACCACAGGGGGGTGCGCCCCCACCTGGGGAGAATGATCATAGATTTTGGTGCTGGTGGCAATCTTTCGGCCGCCTAGGGAGCAAGAATATTTCCACTATCGCCGAGATCTGGATCATCTCCCCTCGGTTGAGGCACACCGCCGATTTTGGTGTTGGTGTCAACCTCTGGGCCTGCCAGAGAACAGTCCTTGCACAGGCGGGTCGGGCTCACCACTCGCCTTCTATCCACACAGCCTTGTGACATCAGCCGGCATGTGCCCCAAGCAACCTTTCACGACAGTTGTGCCACTTCGCCGACGGGATCGGCAAGCGTCTTCGGGCCTCAGTGTGCGCTCTCGTCGCCGCGGGCTGGATTCCCGTGAGGCCTATGGACAGGACGCGCCCCAGGATCAAGGTGGATCGAGGTGGAGGACCTCGAGGCTGGAAGCTTAGAGTTTTGGGCCGCTGTTGGTCCTTCCTGGCCCTCGTCGCCGCAATGGCTGGATCTGGCTCGAAAGTCTTGCCAGAGTGCATCCCAAGACAGGTGGTGATGTCGGTTTCAAGGGCTGAGTCGCAGACCTCTGGCGTCGCAGAGCAAAACGATTGTGCAAGTTTGTCATATGTTTACGTGTCTTCAGGCGGCCAGAATCCAGGATCAGGGTGTTAGCCACGTCAAGCCAGAGACTCTCCTGCCGACAGGTGCCCCCCATGACGTGTTGTTATTCCCAAACCTCCTGTGGTGGGTTCTCGTTTTGAATACAGCACTACGGTCGCGTCTCCTTCTCCACCTCCCTCTCCTCCTGCCTTATCCTGCATCTGTCTTTAGGCCACGTGATCTTGTGTGATCTTGTGTGCCCTAGTGGGCCGTCTTGGGCAGAACCCGAAGACTTTACAAACACGAGGGACTCTCAGCATCCTGAGTGCGGGGTTCTTGTTAATAGAAGGGTGCCTCCGCATCGCCCTCACTTACTCACGTCCTTTCCGTTTCACTCACACCCTGCCCTCTTACACTCAGATTCACCAGCACCACGCTCTGCCATTGAGACGGGGACCCATGCGCACTCGCTCCGCATACTCAAACCCGCTCATACTCAGTATTCAGTGCAACAGGGTGCCGCAATGGTGAGCCGCCACATGGGCCGCCACAGGGTATTACACTTGCCTTTCGCGCCCGGGTTTCTTGTGTGCCTTGAGCAAGGCGCTCGTTCGGCCCTTGGCTCCTCTTTCTTGTCAGAACCACAGGATGCGTTTTATCTAGCAGGCGTAGCGCTTGGGCATCCCAAGGGGGAGCCACATGGAGGTACTGCACTTGTCCGTTTGCGCCCAGATGGCTGGCGGGATGTTTCGAGCGACGCGCTTGTTTCCCCCCCCCCCGACTCCTCCTCTTCAGAGCCCCCTGACCACGACGATGTAGCAGGCATAGCAATTGGGCTCATTCACCGCGGGAGAGCCGCCAGGGAGTGCTGCACGTGCCCATTCGCAGCCAGGTTGCGGGGATGCCTCAAGCAAACTGCTCGTTTGCCCCCCCCCCCCCCCCACAACCCACCCCTGGTTCCTGTCTTCATAGATGCCCGCCGTCACCGCAAAGTAGCAGGCATGTCGCCTGGTCATCTTAGGAGGGGCCACCAGGGGATATGACACTTGCAATTGGCGCCCAGGATGCGGGGGGGCCTTGAACGAGGCACTCGTTTGGAACCCAAGACTTCTCTCTCGTCAGAGCCACATGATGACCGAAATGTAGCCTGCATAGCTCTCGGGCATCCCAAAGGGGAGCCGTCAGGGGATATCCCGCTGGTCCATTTGAGCCCAGACGTTTGGGATAAGTCTCGAGCGAAACGCTTGTTTCCCCCCCACGACTCGCCTTCTTTCAGAGCCGCATGACAACGACGATGTAGCAGGAATCGCACTATGGCACACCAAGGGACAGCCGCAAGGGAGTATTACACGTTCCCATTCGCGCACAGATTGCGGGGATGTCTCAAGCAAACCGTTCGCTAGCAACCCCCCCTGGTTTCTGTCCACTTACATGCCCACCATTACTGCAATGCGGCAGGCATGTCGCTTGGTCACCTCAAGGGGAAACCACCAGGGGATATGACACTTGCTGTTCGCGCCCAGGCTGCGGGGGCGACGTGAGCGAGACGCCCGTTCGGCACCCGAGGCTCTTCTCTCGCCGGAGCCAGATTATGACCGAGATGCGGCTGGCATAGCGCTCGGGCATCCCAAGGCGGAGCCGCCAGAGGGTATTACATTTTCCCGTTTGCGCCCAGATTGTTGGGGGGGGGTCGAAGCACGCGCTTGTTTGCCCCCCCCACCGACTCCTCTTCTTTCAGAGCCCCATGGCCTCGGCCTCGACCATGTAGCAGGCATAGCACTTGGGCGCACCAAGGGACAGCCGCCAGGGAGTGTCAGACGCTCCCATTCGCGCGCAGATTGCAGGGATGTCTCGAGCAAACCGTTCGGTCGTTTGCCCCCTCCCCGCACCCACCCATGGTTCCTGTCTTTTTGGAGGCCCAACATCACCGCAATATAGCACGCATGTCGCTTGGTCACCTCAAGGGGGGGACCACCAGGGGATATGACATTTGCTGTTCGCGCCCAGGTTGTGGGGGGGCTTGAACGAGGCACTTGCTTGGAACCCAAATCAGGGCCACATGATGACCGAGATGTAACCGGTATAGCGCTCAGGCATCCCAAAGGGGAGCCGTCAGGGGATACTCCGCTGTTCCGTTTGAGCCCAGATTGTTTTGGATAGTCTCGAGCGACACGTTTGTTGGTTCCCCCTCATCTTCTTTCAGAGGTCTATGTTAACGACGATGCATCAGTAATAGCACTGTGGCACACCAGTGGACAGCCGCCATGGAGTGTTAGACGTCCCCATTCGCGCCCAGCTTGCGGGGATGCCTCAAGCAAAAAGTTCGTTTGCCCCCCACCCACCTTCCAGTTCCTGTCCTTTTAGAGGCCCCCCATCACCGCAATATAGAGGGTACTGCCGTGGGGTATGACACTTGCTCGTTCGCCCCCCAGAGTGCGGGGGCGTTTTGAAGCGAAACGCTGCCTTTGCCCCCCCCGACATGTTTCTCTTGAGAGCCCTATCACTACCGCGATGTAGCACGCATAGTACTTCTGGGCACCCCACCCCAAGCGGATCCTCTGGGGGGGACCTATTAATGCCCAGACCAACTTGCGATCATACCTATTTTTGCAGTCAGCCAGTCGTAGTCTACCTCACTCACTGGTATAGAAGGGGCACACTATGGGGACCCCCGCGTCGAATCATTGCTTCCTCTCGAGGCCCTCTTGGGGTACCTCTTGGAACCTCCTTGGGACGTCTTGGGGCCTCCTAGGTAATTTTGACGCCATCCTGGGTCGCTTCAGGGCAATCCTGAGCCCCCATCGGAAGCCTATCGAGACTACTTGTAAGCCTAAGTGGCCACTCTGGCCACACATAAAAACATGATGACGACCGAACCAATGATGGTGTCAGACCGTTAGTCTAGCGGGAGGCCACCAGGATTTGTTTGCAAGGGCCAGCTCCGACCCCTGCCTTCTGGAAACGACTGTGTGGTGGAATGTCGAGCGAAGGTGCGGCAATGCTAGAGAACTGCGTGCTCCTGCAGCGTTTGGGGAAACGACTAGGGCAACAACTTATTTATGTTTGGGTTGGTAGGTGGATCTCTCAATCTCTCCGCCGCCTCTGGCGGTGTGCGTTGCGAGCAGGAACACAGCAAAGCCACAGCGCCAGAGGTGACGGAGAGCTTGAGAGGTCCACCTACCAAAAGGTAGGGCCCTTGGGGATTTCCAGATGGACTCTTAAGGCTCTCTTGGGACACCTTGGAGATCTCTTGGGCCGTATTGGGCTGCTCTCGGGCCCGCCCGGCGCCTTTGGAGACTGCCTCCGGGATTTACGTGGACCGTTTTGGGGACTTCTTGGGGCCCTTCAGTCTTGGGGCTCTCTCGGGCCGTCTTGGGGCCGTCTCGGGGTTGTCTTCCTGGTCTCTGGGCCATCCTGTTCTTGGGGGATTGGTGGGCCATCTTTGCGCGATGTTGTGGGCCTCACGGGCCGTCAGAGCGAGAACGCGAAAGCATTACCAACAGCATAATTGATGTCAATGTCCTTTGGAGCCCTTTTGGGGCCTCTGGAGCCTCACGGATGTCTTTTTGTAGCCCTCTTAGGGATTATGTGAGGCTTCCCGGACAGTTTTGAGGTCATCTTGTGGTTATCTCAGGTCACCTTGCAGGCTTACCCAGTTGTCTGCGGCAAGTCCAGCCGCGGTGCCAGTCCAGCAGTCTCGGTTGCATGTCTTCGAATCGAAAGGGAGGATTATGATGACGATGGCGATGAGATGATGAAGAGGACGCGGAGAGGATGAGGAGGAATATGGCGGACGATGGGAATGAATGACATGATGATCATAATGATGATGGCGGTGTTGATGATGAGGATGAAGAGGGTGAGGATGAGGAGGGCGAGGACGAGGATGGTGGCGATGAGCATGCTGATGGAACATACATATTATGGTGATGGCAATCATGACAATGATGATGAGGATGATACTGATGCTTACGATTATGATGATGATGATGCTGGTGCTGATGCTGATGCTGCTGATGATGATCATCATGAGGAAGGTATGATGATGACGATGATGATGATTCTGATGATGCTGCTGATGATGATGATGAACGTGATGGTACTGATGATGATGATGACGATGATGATGATGATTATGATGATGATGATGATGATGATGATGCTGATGATGATGATGATGATGATGATGATGATGATCAGCACGCTGTTTCTGATGGTGATGGTGATAGTTGTGGTGGTTGTGGTCAATCGTGTCCTACGAAGGATCGTGGCCCACGGAGGCTCACGAGAGGGGGGCGGTGCATGCGGATAGACGCTAGTCTTGGGGCGCGCCTTCTTAGAATGCAGAATCCCGGCATCCTTCTTCGCCTCAATGTGCAACAAGCACGGTGGCGGACCAGGTTCACCTTGGACCCCTTTCTGGGGCCATCTTGGCCGTCTTGGAAGCGTGTTGGCGTCGTGTGGGGACGCATCGTGGCCCATCTCGGTATTTTTGGAAGCGAGTTCCCCTTTTTTCCTGTCCTTCGCGGTGGCGGTTGGGCCAGAGCTCACCGGGCCCCATGTGGAAGGGCTACAAAGTGTTATATACATAGGCAAGCCAAGCATGCCTTCGGCAGGCAAGCACAATGGCCTCCAGCTAATCCCGCCACCGTGATTGGGATGTTGATCAGAGGCCACTAAGAGGATTCTTGAGGTGATTTGGGGACCCTCTTGGCTCTTGGGCGCCTCTTGGCGGCTGGGAACGTTTTGGGGGTCCTCTGGGGGCCTGGACGAGGCGGTCTAGGGCTTGTCTTTTGGGGCGAGGGATCAGTTCGCTCTAGGGCCCCTCTTGGGGCTGCCTCGGGGCCCTCTTGGTCCCTCTCGGGGGCGAGCTTGGGGGGATCTTGGCAGCCTCTTGGGCCGACTTGGGATCTGTGGAGACCGAAAAGCCGAGCATACGAACATGACACACATGATTCATGAGGATGAAACACAGACGCACCTGATCGTCGATTCCCAAGAAAACATTGGAACATATGGGCAGGGGGGAGGAAGACGAACATCCAGAACATATAGAAAAATAATGGGGAATCCTTGGATGTGTGTCTTTACTGGTGTGTCCGTGGGCCCCTTGAGTAATGTGGTTGGTATTCTTCGTGCTTCTGGCTGGCACTGGCCCTGCAAGGGCCTGAATGACGACCAGAAGATGCCCCAGAGAGAATGCGCCAGCACGAGACCCCCAGACACTCTCTTATAGCACGCTCGAGCGAGGTCTAGTTGTTACTCCAAGGCACTCCCCCCAGATACAGTCAACCCGAGGGTACCCTTGCATCTTTCCCCTTCGGCACATCCTCGGCCGCTTTCGCTAGCCGTGCCCCGCAAGGTAAACTTCGAAGCGGCCTTCCAAGGTCCTTGCATCCTCACAGTGCCTCCTTAAGTATACAATACGTGTCGACTGTATCTGAAAAAGACACGCGGTGATTTCAGGGAGTGCCAGGAGCCCCTGAGCTCCTGGCGCTGCCATTTTTCCTCACGGGCGTTTTCGCCTATTGTTTGTTGGCCCCAGGACCATCACGGATCGATCCGGATTCAACAATGATGCAGAAAGTTCGGGTTCAGGGCTCCAGCTGCGATTTGTCACGATGTTGCAATGTTGGTCGCAACGTCGGAAATGAGGGAGCGCCCTTGACACGCGACCCTGAGCCTCCATACGAGCAGCAATGACATGCAACGCAGAGGACTCGAACGCTCTTGAGGCCACTTCGCCCGGTGCGTACGGCATGATGGTGGATAGTCGCGTTTCCCCACGCATCGGCGGGAGATGCGCCCCAAAGCTGTCTACGGTCTACGGCAAGCGCAGTACCTGCCCTCGGTCGATGCAGCCTTCCGAGCACTGGGTGTACGTCTCCAGCAGCGAGCGTTCCCACGGCGTACGCAGTGCCTGCCCTCGGCCGATGCAGCGTGCGCCCCCAGTGTGCACGCAGCACCTGCCTCTTTCTTCGACCTCCTGCCCCTTTCGGGCGGCGGGTGCCGTGCAGCGGCCGCGGCCGCCGAGGCCGCCGCTCCAGCCTCGGCGGCGGCCGCCGCCGTGGCGGCGGCCGCCTTCTGCGCGGCATCCGCCCACCCCCCCAGACTCCCCAGGCGTCGGTGGGGCGCCAGTAAGGCCCGCTCCCTATCTGTACACGCGGGCTGCTGAACCGAACCCTAATATCCTCAATGCCCTGTCCTTCCGAGCGGGAGCGAAGCGCCACCCCGTGCCTGCGTCGGCATCGCAAGCATCTGCTGCGGATAGTCTAAAAGCTTTTGTTGCTGGTAGACGCGGGCTTTGAAACAAAGCTCGAATCCTCCTGACTTTCCCGTCCTTCTGAACGGTAGCGCAGTGCCACCGTGCGCTTGCGTCGGCACCGCAAGGATGTTCTGCGGTTGCTTTTGTTGGGCCGCGATTGCCTATAAGAGCGGCGTCTGTGTGTGTTTTGGCGCCCTCCCCCATCCAGGGCACGACCTGGGGCACCCCGCTCGTGCTGAAGGACCGCGGAGGGAGAGGGAGAGAGTGGAGGAAGAGGAGGAGAAGGAGCAGGAGGAGGTGGATGATGATCATGATGATGATGATGATGATGATGATGATGATGATGATGATGATGATGATGATGATGATGATGATGATGATGATGATGATGCTCATGAGGACGATGAGGAGGAGGAGGAGGAGGAGGATGCTGATGATGATGTTGTTGATGCTGATGACGTTGCTGAACATTACGCTGATGCTGATGCTGCTGATAATGATGCTGATGCTGATGCTACTGCTGCTGCTGCTGATGATGATGCTGATGCTGATGCTGATGCTGATGATGATGATGATGATGATGATGATGATGATGATGATGATGATGATGATGATGATGATGATGATGATGATGATGATGATGATGATAATGCCGTTGTTGATGGTGATGATGATGATGAGGAGGATGAGGAGGATGTGGAGGAGGAGGCGAGCGCCACCCAGCACTGCCCCGTGGCGTGTTAATCGGTGCTTGGCGGGGAGGCTGTTGGCCCCCCGCCTGCAACGCCCCAAAGAGACTTCGGTTAGCTTGACTCAGGCTGGCTGAAGGCTGTGCCCAGGAGGAGGAGGAAGAAGAAGACGAAACATAATAGGAGGAGGAGGAAGACGTTTCCAAGAAGCGGACGGTCGGGCGCGCCCGCCCCCGCCCGCTGCCGCTCCAAGGAGCGGAGCGGCGCAGCGCACGGCCACTCGCACGCAGCCCCAGGGCGGCGGCGTGGGGCCGCGGGGGCGGAGGCCGAACGCCGCGGCGGCCCGCCCCAGCGGGCGCGGCGCGGCAGCCCCGGATCATCGTAGGTCACCGGCCGCGCCGGCAGCCAGGCGGCGCGCCCACGCATGGCCGCACCAGCGCCGCGGAAATCGGCGGCGGCGCTGGAGCCTTCAGCGGGCTGGGGGGGCGTCGGCGAGGCGGGGCCTCTAGTTGGCCCGTCTCTCGCCGCTGTCGGGGCTCGGCACCCCATGTCCGCGACGCACGCCTCGCGCAGGCGGGATGGCAGGCGGGGCGAGGGGGGGCTGGGCCACGGCCGAACAGGCCGAGCCCACTGGCGCCTCGGCGTCTCGGCGCGGCCGCAGAGCCCGCTGCCCGTGGTGGCGGCCGCCGCGGCCGCTGCCCGTGGACACGGCGAGGCGGAGCGAGGGCGGCGGGCCCTCCGCTCGCGCGCCGCATGCCGATCGCCCAGTGAAGGCGACCGCCGCGCAGGGAACCCATAGATCCAGCGTGTTGGACAAAAATCAAGACGGAGGTTCTTCGCCGTTTCCGGCATCTAAAAGACCTCGCCGGGCCTCCGGGCTGTCAAACAGCGACTCAGGACGAAAAGCCGGTCCTGGGGAATGGGTCGAGCCTTCCAGGGACCCCTCCTTGGAAGAATCACGGCATCGGATCTCTGGGAGCCACGGGCGTCTGCCCCGCCCCCACTGTGGGCCCGCTCTGGCGTGGCTCCCTCCCTCCGGCGGGGCTCCTCTCCTCGCGCCGGCGGCGCGCGCCTCGACCAGGCGGGGCGGCGGGCAGGGTTATAGGCGGCGCGCCTGTGACCAGCCTGCCTGGGTCAGCTGGGGCGTCGGCGCCTCGGCGAAGGCGCGGCGAAGGCGCCACCTGCGGCGACCCTGACCGCCTCTTTCCTCCCAGCAGCGACCCGCCCAGCAGAGCGGTCCAGTCCAGGGTCACCCAGGGACTGGAGGTCGAGATGGTGCCGCCGTCCGGGAACTCCAGATTCATCTCGTGGACCTGGTTGGGAGGACCGAGGACGCCCAAAACCCTGGGCCAGCACGATTGTGGCCAGGATCATCCTGGCGACTACGCAGCACCCCCGTCTTCCCTCTGCCAACTCCAATAGAAAGAGAGCGGTGCCGTCGAAGGAGAGCGGCGTGACCCAGCCGAGGGGAGCCATCTGCTCGACACTCGGCCGCGGTGTCGGACGCCCCCCACCGCGTGCCAAAGGTTGGCGTCGGGCCCCGCAGGCGTGACGGCGAGGCGCGTCCGCGAACCTTCGCAGACGGCGTGGTTGTCTGTGACGGAGACGGCATCGCCAGCCGAGAGGGAGGCCGCCAGCCAGGCAGCGGGAGGCCCTGGCCAGGGATCATGGATGGCATGCTCTTGCCCACGTCCCCACAGTCATATTCCCGGAGGGCCTGCCTGGAGTATGATTTGCCAGTTGCCACGTCGCCGATGTAGGTCCAGTCGCCGTCGTCGAGGGGGCTCGGCACACTGGTCCACGTAGCTGGGATGATGCCGCGCATCCAGAAGCATGTGTCGTCCTCACAGATTCTAGCGACAATGGAACCTGACCAAGCGCCGCACGCAGCAATCGTGACCAGCAGCGTTGCGAGCGGTATGTCCAACAAGTGCGCGGCGGCCCTACAGGAGCTGGACGACAGGGTGTGGGCTTGCCTCGAGCAGGTGGCCGGTTACTCGCTCACCGACGCGTCTTGGCGGCATGCGCAATTCGAGCTGCGGAAGTGTGGACTCGGCCTGCGCTCAGGCGATCAGCGCGCGGCCGCCGCCTATGTGGCCTCCCGAGCCGCCTGCTCCGCGCTCCGCAGGCAGCTCCTACCCTGGCTACAGCGACGACGCAGGCCACCACGGGGGCGCGCTCGCGACTGCGGCTTAGGCCCACAACGCTCTCGTCTCGGACTCGAACAGGGTGGCCTTTGACCCGGAGCAGCGCGGCAACCAGCAGACACTCAGCGACCCCATTGACGACGCAGCGCTCGCGAGCCTCCGGACGGGCGCCTCGGTCGCCACCCAGGCGCACCTGAGCTTGCTCTAGGCGCCTGGCGCTGGCGCCTACCTCCAGGCGCCACCCTGCGAGGCCGCGGGTACCCGCAGGCGCAGGCGGCCGGCTTCGCGGTGGCAGAGCTGGAGCGGCCGGGACTCCTTCCGCCGGAGGCAGCCAACGATGGGTTCGCCGGGCGGCGAGGTGGACGGGTGGGACCTGGACGCTGGCGACCGCCGCCCCGCCGACGTCTGCTGACCCTGGTGGCGCAACGGGGTGCCAGCAGCCCAGGACTTTGCCGTCACTTCCAGGCCTCGCGACGACCTCCTCCCCGTCTCCGCCGCGCCCCCCAGCGCGGCCACGGAGCGCTGCGAGGAGTTCAAGCGGCTACGCTAGGACGCCGAGCGCCAGTGCGCGGCGCAGGGCTTCATCTTCATACCCATGGTGGTGGAGGCCCACGGTGGCGGGTGCGGGCGCAAACGAGGCCAGGAGAGCCTTCGCGATCCTGGCCAAGCGGGTGGCTGACGCCACTGGGGAGGAAGCCGCCGTAGTGGTGGACCGGGGCGCCCAGCGACCTTTAGTCTCCCTTCATCGGGAGAACGCGCGGGCGGTGCTGTGGCGGCTGCAGCCGTCGACGAGGGCGGCTGCGCCTCGCAGCGGCCGCAGCGGCGGCCGCAGACGACGCCGCATGAGTCGCCGCCAGCGCCGGCTGGCCCCCTGCCCCCCTTTCCTTTGACGACCCCTGACCCACGACGCCCCACCGCCCACCCCCGCGACCCACCAAGACCCCCAGCGCCACGACGACCCGCGACGAACCCCCAGACCCCGCCTGCCCCGCCCGACGCCCGGCGGACGGCGGCCCCCAGATGCCCAGACCCACGACGACCCCGACGCCCCCCGAACCACGACGACCCCCCGAGCGCCGCCGACGTACCCGCCCCCCCCTGCCCCCTGCCCACCCTGTGCGCGCGCTTGCCTGCTGCTGCCTTTGCCCCCCCCTCTTCTCCTGCATGTTGGCGTCTGCTCGCCGTGTCTTCCCTCTTCCCCCATCCCTCCTCTTCCTCCCCCTCCTCCTCCTGACCCCCTCCATACATGGCACGAGCGCGCGCGCCGAACGGCGGGGTCTAGTGGCTCGCGCCCCGCGGCCGCGCCCTCGACCCGCGCGCTCTCGCCGCGCGTTGTGCGCAACGGTCGTTTCCCTGTTCGTCCTCGTCTTCTTCCTCCCCCTTCCCCTGTCTTATTGTCTCCTCTCTGCGCTGCAGCGCCGCCGCCTTGCGCGGGCCCGCCCACGAAGGCGGTCTGACGCGGCCGCCAGAGACTTGTTTTCCTCTGGCCCGGCTCAGTGGTTGTTCTTGTTGCGTGCTGCGTTCATCAAAACAGACACTTCGGCAGCATGCTTCAGCCTTCATAGCCGGCAAATATGGCAGCGGGCATTTTTGCATGCAGCACGGCATATCCCAATGTTTGAAGGGCCGCCTTTTTGGTCTACATGTTTTTCAGAGGTAGGCGGCGCACCTCTCGTGCAACGGCATGCCTTCCATGGCGCGGCGGCTGAAAACCGCCCGCGGTGGAGCGTGCTCGACACCAGGCCGAACTCGATTAGCGCCACAGGCCGGAATGAATTATGTTTTTATTGTTTGTTCAATTTGACCCGCCAAAACTGCTTCTTCATTTGACCAGGATTCGCGCCGGACGCGCCCGCCACCGTTCCCAGCGGTCGAGAACACGCGCAACACGAGTATTTTGGGAATTCGGGGGCATGAAATCAAAAGGTTTGCCCACACATGCGGCTGGCCTCCTTTCGGACTGCAAGCGAACGGTCGGCGAACAACGGGCTGCTAGCATTCCAGCTCGCATCTCCTGGAAAAGGGGTGGCTGGCGCATTTGCCGAGCCCCTTTTCCGTCGACGTCCGCGCCGACGGCCAATCCGCCGCCAATCCAACGGACCCAGGCCCCCGTGAGTCACGAATTGTGCATGACGCTCGTTGTGTATGGTCATTTCTGTGATGTTTGGATATTGTTTGCCTCACGGTTCAATTTTTTTGCTCTTTAAATTCTCTCGATTGTTTGCTCTTGTCTGTGCATGGCAAACCCTGGGCATGCCTTGACAGCCCCTGTCCAGCCATGCTGTCCTTTGACAGCTCCTGGCAACCCTTAGGCAGCGTCGAGGCCAGTTAAGGTTGAGGACTGGTGTCAAGGGTTGAACGCTCACCGATTGGATCTCAAAGCTAACATTGGTTCGTGCGCAAGTTTCCTACGGAAGACAATCCAGAGTTCCCCACGCGAGGAGGTCTGTAGTGCGCACCATCGAATAGCCGCCATGTTGGTATGTAAACTAAACTGAACTATTGGCGTCGGCCGACAAGATTTCCGGTGACCCGCGCGGTGTGCGGGTCGCCCGCCGCGCGTGCGCGAGCGCGCGGCGATTCTTGTACGGTCCGCAACCGAGGATCTCCATGCTGGTCGGGTAAGCAAAAGTGAAGCCTTCTGTCGTTCCTCCCCCCATTCCGCCCTTCCTTTCTTCACCTCCTCCTCGTCCGCCTCCCGCCCCCCTCCTCCAACCCTCCCTCTTCCATCCCCGCGTCTCTCCCCCCCCTCCCCCCTTTTTTTCCATTCTAGGGGGAGGTGTGGGGCATCTCGCGTCGAGGTCGTCGCCGTCGTCGTCGACGTCGTCGTCGACGTCGTCGTTTCCGTCGTCGTTGTCGTCGTCGTCGCCGTCGTCGTCGTCGTCGAAGTCATCGCCGTCGTCGTCGTCGTCGTCGTCGTCGTCGTCGTCGTGCTCGTCGTCGTCGTCGTGCTCGTCGTCGTCGTCGGCGTTCTCGTCGTCATCGTCGTCGTCTGGCGGGGGTGTTGCAGCCCGTTGGGCCGAGGACGGCTCGTACCACCCGGTCTGCGCCCATGAGTTCGCGGGGGCGAAGCATGGCGCCGACGTCTTCTGCAGGCGTTGAATGACGCCGATGACGATGCCGACGACGACGACGACACTGACGACGACGAAGACGACGAAGACGACGAGGACGAGGACGACAACGACGAAAACCACGAGGAGAACTGGAGGAGGTGGAGGCGGACGCGGGCGAGGACGAGGACCCGCGCGCGACCCGACCTTTCGGTGTGGAGGCGGGCACAGCATTTGCTGGAGCTTGCTCCGTCCAGGGCAGTCCGAAATCGTCATTCTGGGACGCAGAGTCAGAACCAGACGGAGGAGGACGGCGACGAATACCAAGAATGCGACGACGATGTCGGCGTCGGCGGCGACGGGGGGAACGTGCACTGGGGAGGGGGAGCGCGGGGGGAGGACGGAGGCGGCAAGGGAGGAAGTTGCGGGGCTAGGCATGTATTATGATATTACCCGAAATCTGGAAAGGCACAGTCGTGCTCGGATGCTCGCAGGAACCATTGGTTCGCGAATTCCAAGGCCCCATGGCTTTGTCTACGGCCGCTCGGCTGAGTTCGGTTTCAAATCATGGGAGCCTTGTGTACCCTCGTAATTTCGCTTTTTGAGCGCAGTGGCGTCGATAAGCGTCTGGTAATCGTTGATTTTGCGCCGAACTAGCGTCGATTTACGTCGATTGGCGTCGATTTAGCGTCGACCAGCGCCGATTAGCGAGGGCCAACAAGATGGTATGGAAGGCCCCCATGACTTGCCACCGAAGCTGAGAAGAAGAACAGATGTTCAAAATCAGTGGGTCGCACAAGGTTCGGGAACACGTGTTCGCAAACGGTGCTCGGGTCAGCCCTGGTTGCGGGGGAGGCGGGAGGGCAGGAGGAGGAGGGCGAGGGCGAGGGCGAGGGCGAGGGCGAGGGCGAGGGCGAGGTGGAGGAGGAGGAGGAGGAGGAGGAGGAGGAGGAGGAGGAGAGGAGGAGAAGGGGGGAGGCAGAGCCTTGAGGGGGGGAGGGCCCCTCGGGCCTGCGTGGGCCGAGTCTGTATCGAGCAGACACGCTCCCCGTGGCGGCTCGCAGGGGTGTGTGGACACGACTCCGGTCAGCCAGGCCCGGTTCCCCCCCCTGAGGTTCCCTTGTGAAAAAAACTATGCGGTGACATTTTTTGCTCTAACATAGCACTTTTCACGAATCCCTTGCAAAACATAGGACGAAGTGCGCACGCGCGCGTCGTCGCGCGCGCATGCCGAAATCCTTCAAAAACCTTCGGTGCCGGAAGGATTTCGCAATCGAGTTTCCGAAAAACACACAAAAACACATGGTTTCGCAACACTGATTTGCTAAACAAACTTCCGCGCGAGCTCTTGCGAAACCATCGTTTTTTTAGATTTTCACAAAATGCTACCAAACGGGCTTCGTGCGCGCATGTCGAAATCTGTCGAACGCCCTTGCGCGTGTGCCGTCGCGAGAATCCTCTGCAAGAAATAAGACGAAGTGCAGACGCGCGCGTCGTCGCGGGCGCATGCCGAAAACCTTCAAAACCCATCGGTTTTCGGAAGGATTTCAAAATCGTGCGTCCAAAAAACCTGCAAGAACCCAAGGTTTCGCAACACGGATTTTCAACAAAGGCGTGCGCGCGCGCTCTTGCGTCGTCGTCGTCGTCGTCGTCGTCGTCGCCGTCCTCCCTCCTCCCGCGTCGTCGTCGTCGTCGCCTACGTCGTCCTCTGTCTTTTCTCGTGTTCGTCGTCGTCGTCCTCTTTGGCGTCGTGGTCGTTTCCGTCGTCGTTGTCGCCGTGGTCGTCCGTCCTCCTCCTCCCACGTCGTCGTCGTCGTCCGTCGTCGGCGTCTCGTCGTCGGTTCTATTTCGTCACCGTCGTCGTCGTCGTTGTCGTCGTCTTCCCTCCTCCCTCGTCGTTGTCGTCGTCGGCGTCGCCGTCCTTCCTCCTTCGTCGTCGTTCGCGTCGTCGCCGTCCTCCCTCCTCCCTCGTCGTTGTCGTCGTTGCCGTCGTTGTCGCCGTCGTCGTCCTTCCTCCTCCCTCGTCGTCGCCTTCGTTGGCGTCGTCGTCGTCGTCGGCGTCGGCGTCGGCGTCGTTGTCGTCGTCGAAGTCGTCGGAGACGTCGTCGGTGTCGTCGTCGTCGTTGTTGTCGGTGTCGTCGTAGTCGGTCTTAAGAGGTTTTGCAAACCAAGTTGCGGGTGGGAAAGTGGGATGTTTGCGCGAGCAGTGGAGAGGACAGCTTCAAGTTGAGCAAGTGATTGATTCTCCTTTCTAAAAGAGTAATAGATTGTACCCCCCCGGACTTATCGCTTCCCCCGCGCGTGCTGTAAATCACATATGATTCTGACCACATGTCCATCCGAAATATGAATTCATACCATCCCAGCCAAGCCGGTATCCCCCCCCCCCGCGGTTCCCTGTCAAATAACACTATGCGGGGACATTTTTCTTTCTAACATAACACTTTGTCACGAATCCCTTGCAAAAAATAGGACGAAGTGCGCACGCGCGCGTCGTCGCGCGCGCATGCCGAAATCCTTCAAAAACCTTCGGTGCGGGAAGGATTTCGCAATCGAGTTTCCGAAAAACACACAAAAACACATGGTTTCGCAACACTGATTTGCTAAACAAACTTCCGCGCGAGCTCTTGCGAAATCTTAAGAAAACCATAGGTTTTTCAAGATTTTCACAAAATGCTACCAAACGGGCTTCGCGCGCGCATGTCGAAATCTGTCGAACGCCCTTGCGCGTGTGCCGTCGCGAGAATCCTTTGCAAAAAATAAGACGAAGTGCAGACGCGCGCGTCGTCGCGGACGTATGCCGAAAACCTTCAAAACCCATCGGTTTTCGGAAGGATGTCAAAATCGTGCGCCCAAAAAACCTGCAAGAACCCAAGGTTTCGCAACACGGATTTTCAACAAAAGCGTGCGCGCGCGCTCTTGCGTCGTCGTCGTCGCCTACGTCGTCCTCTGTCGTTTCTCGTGTTCGTCGTCGTCGTCCTCTTTGGCGTCGTGGTCGTTTCCATTGTCGTTGTCGCCGTGGTCGTCCTTCCTCCTCCTCCCACGTCGTCGTCGTCGTCCGTCGTCGGCGTCTCATCGTTGTCCCTCCTGTGTCGTCGCCGTCGTCGTCGTCGTTGTCGTCGTCGGCTTCCCTCCTCCCTCGTCGTTGTCGTCGTCGGCGTCGCCGTCCTTCGTCGTCGTTCGCGTCGTCACCGTCCTCCCTCCTCCGTCGTTGTCGTCGTTGTCGCCGTCGTCGTCCTTCCTCCTCCCTCGTCGTCGCCTTCGTTGGCGTCGTCGTCGTCGTCTTCGTCGTCGTCGGCGTCGGCGTCGTTGTCGTCGTCGAAGTCGTCGGAGACGTCGTCGGTGTCGTCCTAGTCGTTGTCGTCGGTGTCGTCGTAGTCGGTCTTAAGAGGTTTTGCAAACCAAGTTGCGGGTGGGAGGGTGGGATGTTTGCGCGAGAGGTGGAGAGGACAGCTTCAAGTTCCGCAGAGTGGACTGCACCCCCTAGATTGTACCACATCGATTGCACCACCTAGGTTGCAGCGCCCATTGAATAGGACATCACTGTTCGTGGTTCACGCTGGCTAACATATCTATATGCTGTGTCTATATATATATATATGTGTGCATCTGTACATAATTATATATATTCTTTAAATATACACCAACGAGCCCCGCCGATCGGACCCAAAACCTAGGACCTCGTGAGGCGTCATGGGGGAACGCTATGGGAGGATAGCTTCAGGGCGGGAATGCCTCGGCACCCCATGTCGCATTGCTCGCCGAGGGGTCCCCGACGGCCCTCCCTGTGCTGCCCAGGAACTGGCGGCCTCGCCGTCGGGGTCCCACGGCCGAGCTGTCGGCTGTGTGTCGCTAGGTCCACTTGGGCCAAGTCCACCTGGGTGCTTCTCTTCCCTCCGAAAGTGCGGCCCTCGCGTTTTCCTCCTCCCTCCGCGGCCGCCCGCTCCGTCCCCTGCTCCCCCACTCTTGCATGGTGGCCCACTCGCTACAGCGGTGCCCCCGTTTAGTCAGCTCCTTCCGCCAGCGCAGACGACCGCTGCAAAGCCGCCGACGCATAAAGTTCTTCCCTCCCTGAGCTTCCCCCCCCCCAGTCTGGGTTTTTTAGTGAGCGTGGGGGGGTACCCCCCCGACGGGGGTGAGCCTGGCCTCGTCGTCGCGCTGAGACGGGGATCGGAACGCTTTCGGCGCGCGGTGGCTGCCCGCGACGGGATTCGATGTGGCGGTGGTGACGCACCCCCGACGCTTATCAAGAAACTCGGAGTAACGCTGCCCCTCAAGGCAGCTCGGCTACCAGAGCGGCGTTGTCCGCATCTCGGCCGAGGGGGCCGGCACGTACGCCCGCGGCGCGCTGCTGGTGGAGGCCTGCGCCGACGGCAGCGGCCCGACCCTGGCGGCGTCCGCGTGCAAGCCGGGCAGCCCCCACAGCAAGAACGGCCTGGGCGGGGAACATACATCAAGCAGTGGCGAAGCGTCCTTGCGTGCCTATAGGCCTACCAAACAACGTTCTAAGAACCTGTTGTGGTTTTCACGAAAAGTCCTTAGAATATGTATGGCTGGGACTGTCTTGTTTTTTTTTATCAAATTGGGTTTATGTTCTAAGAACCTTGTTTTCGTTATTCGAATAGTTTGGGGTTATATGAGTAGTTCGTGGTAGGACTACAGGAATGCCGGGACGGTCGCTCCCTGCTCAACATACTGCGAGCGGCTTGAATGAGGAACATATACTTTTCAAACGGGGCTTGCATGCGTTAGTTCTCGTTCCGTATGCGTTATGATTTTTTTCATCGCTCCTGGCGCGTTCCCTGGAAAAGTGGCTTCGTCCCTTGTTTACAGTTCCTTAGGTCAAGCCGATGACTGTACGTAGGACAGCAGTTTGGATGCCACTCGAGGGAGGGTTCCGGACACCCTCTCGGGTGGGAATCCTTTACTTCTGCCGACCTTCCTACGGCGGATTTCGCCGCCTTCGCGCCTCGCGGGTCGCGGTGTGGCCTGCAGGAGCCGAGTGAGGGATCGATTGCAGAATCGACTTGCCCAACATGGTGGTTTTTCTCGTCGAATCTACAAACAGTATGTAGTTTTTGCTGCAGGTTCGGCGAGAAAAAATTTGGCAAACCAATTATGTTGTCAATCCCCTTGTTCGAAGGAGGGGCGGCGCGCAGGGCGCGGGAGCGGGAAGGCGGCCGCGCCTCTCGCGCGGCGCACGCTTTTCGCGAAGCGAGGCGACACCGTAGAGGGCGCGCCCTGCCCGCGCGAAAACGTTACGCCGGGCGGCCGTCCTGCTTCTCCTCCGCCTCCGCCTTCTTCTCCGCCTCCGCCTCCTCCTTGTCCTCCTCCGCCTCCTCCGCCTCCTCCGCCTCCTCCTCCGCCCTCTCCCCCTCCGCCTCCTCCTCCGCCTCCTCCGTCTCATCCTCTTCCGCCTCCTCGTCCTCCTCCTCCTCCGCTTCATCCTCCGCGTCCTCCGCCTCCTCCTCCTCCTCCTCCTCCTCCTCCCCCTCCGTCTCCTCCGCCTCCTCCGTTTCCTCCTCCGTTTCCTCCTCCTCCATCCTCCTCCTGTCCTTATTCCTTGTCCTTATAACAATAGCGTCTCCATGTCGCACCCCGAGGCTAGTTGTTTGATCGGGCAGTGCGTTTCGCCAGAGACGTCCTCGCAGCTCATGACCCTTTATTTGAACCTTGGCAGCAGTTTCATAGATGGAGGGCGGCCTGTTTTCAAAATGTGGCTCTCGCCTTAGAGCCGCGCACGTCGGTTTTAAGCATTTGCAAGAGATTCACGGATTGATGGTTTTCACCATGTGGTTCTCGCCTTAGCGCCACGTGCAATCGTTTTGAACAGTACAAGAGTTTTACGTATGGAACGGTTCCTTTTCAACATGTGATTCTCGCTTTGATTGCACGGCTCCCCATGGTCATTTCTGTAATGACTCAACGTTAACTGCTACGTTGATTCGCGGTGTTGAAGTCTCACGAAAGGCTTTCTGGCACGGTTCAGGATCGTGAAGACGCAACAGTCAGGTTGATCCTCTGCGTTGGAATCCCGAGAACAATGTTTTAACATGCTTCAGGGTCGTCGAGGCATCCCCCCTAGTGAAAATGAACCGTTATAGGGGCCTGTGAAGAGGGAGCTTGGGGAAGGGTTTATTGCAATATCGTTGATGACTCTTGGGTTTACACTCGTCCTCCTCCTCCTCCTCCTCCTCCTGCTTCTCCTCCCCTTCCTCCCCCTACTTTTGACGATGCTCGGACATGAAGAACGGCGGTACGTCTTGCGCCCTGGCAGGAAACAAAGCAGCGAGGCAGACTCAGGCTAAGTGCGAGGCGAATTCGGCAGGCCAGCGCAGCGGGATCAGGCAAGGTATTTTAGACGGGAAAAAAAGAAGTAGGCCCAATCCCTCCTCCCCGTCCTCTTCCTCCTCCTGCTCCTCACTCCCCCCTGGGGACCTCCGCGGAGCTCTGGGGCGGGGGCGCGACGACGACGACGACGACGATGATGACGCCGACGACGACGACGACGACGACGACGACGACGACGACGCCGCCGACGATGACGACAACGACGACGGGGGGGAGTCCCCGGGCCCCTCACGGAGGGCGCGCAAAACTGCAGCCACTGTGCTGCAGGAAGCAGCGGAGAGGTTGGAGCGAAGGGGGCCTCTCTCGCGCCACGGCGCGCCTCTCGGCCACGAAGAGGCGCCACGGCCCGGATCCAAGGAAGAACGGCCCGCACACTGGAGCCCTTCCCTAGTCTGGGCTTCTTGATAAGCGTGGGGGGGTACGCCCCCGACGGGGGTCAGAGCGCCTTGTCGTCGCCGCCGCCCCGCCTCGTCGTCGCGCCGCGGCTGGGGTCGGAGCGCCTGCGGCGCGCGGTGGCTTCCCGCGACGGGGCGTCGATGTGGAGGTGACGCTCCCCCCGGCGCGTATCAAGAAGCTCAGGGTGGCCCCGGGTGGTCCTTGCATCAGCGTTCGGGCTGTAGCCGACGTGAAGAGGCTGGGGCAAATGGTTCTGGCCGCCTTTTTGCTAAGGCGTCGTACTCGTCCATGCCTTCAGCCACGTCTTCATCTCGGGCAGAGGCTCCGAGCGGGCCCGGGAGGCCTTTCGGGGTCTCGGGAGGCCTCCGGGGACCTGGTTGGCCTGGCGTGAACTGTGGTGGCTTCTGCTCCCGCTCCTGCTCTCGCTTCTAGTCCTGCTGCTTGTTCTGCTCCCACTCCTCATATTGCTGCCCCTGGAGCTGCACACCGGCTGTGCAGCTCCGATGAGAGGTTTGGACGAGAACAAAGGTCAAGTGGGGAGAGGAGTTGACCTGATGCCCACGCAGGCAGCGACACGCGGCGAACGGTGGGGTGCGTGACCTGATGGCCGCGTTGAGCGAGCCCGGCGTTGGTGTTTGTTGTGGCTTCCCCGCCGCACGAGTGAGCTCTTCGCACCGTTGCGGTCGACAGCGCGGCTCCCCCACTGGCGAGCTCAGAGAAAGCCCAGGCCCTCCGCCCCGAGTTTGGCGCGTAACGTTGCAACTGTAGGCTTGACGTCGGCGACCTCTGAAGGGGCGAAGGCGGGAAGCACGACGCGTTCGGGCCCTTCTGCGGCCTCGAATCTGGCCGTCAGCGAGTTTCCCAGAATGCCGACCACGGCAAACCCGACATGATGGAACACTCTCGAAGTTTCGATTGGCGTCATCGTTTCATGTGCTTTTGCTCACGGGCTTCACGAGATTCCATTGGTGTCTTCAGCTAGACGGCATGCGTCGCCCCCCGAAGGCTTGCTGGGCCAGAGGGCGTGCCAAGCAGGGCTGCAGGGGACCGCCCTCGAGGTGGAGTGCTCAGAGCCCGGGGTGGGCGGAGAGCCACCGCGCCGGCAGAGCAACCGGGACTGCAACGACACCCTGCCCGACGACTCCTACACCAGCTCCGGTGGCAAGTCATGGGAGCCTCGCATCCCTTCGCAGGTCCCGCATGCTGAGTGCATGCGCGTGCGCTTCCGGCGATCGGCGAGCAGGCGTCGACGTAGGCGCCGATGCAGCGCCGAGCCACATCGACTGCACCCCGATTTGCAAGATGGAATGGGAGGCTCCCGTGAGTTGCCACCGGACACCAGCCACCCCGCCAGCGGTGCCGCCGCCGGCGGAAGCGGCTCGGAGGCGAAGCGCGCAACCGCCCCGCCGCTTGAGCTGCGGAGTCCGCGGCGTGTGGCCAGCGCCGACGTCCAGAGCGTGTTGACGGCGCGCGTGCGGCCAGGCCAGGAGAAGTTTCACTTCGGCCGCTGCGCGCTGATCGGCGCCTCGGGCCTGCTGAAGGGCAGCGGCGCGGGCGTGCACATCGACGCGTACGACACGGTGGCCCCAGAAGAACAGAGCGCGGCGTAAGCATACCTCTCTGGAGGCCCGCGCCGATACCTCGGGCCTGCCCTGCCCTGGACGCCCCCTGGCGGCTCCTCCAGGGCGGCCCCTGGCGCGCTCTGCACGCCGGGCGAGGGGGCCAGTGTCGACCCATCAGGAAGACAGCAATCGGATTGGGAGGATGGGGTTGGGAGAAATGATTACCTATAGGCGGCCGAAGGTATCGCGCATCGCGTCCGAATGCTACTGCTCAATCCCTTCACTATCCCAACCCAGTCTTCCCAACACGATATTTGTTTTCCTCAACCCAAGAAATACTAGTTGACCTCACACCGTTTTTCCCAAACAGTTGCTTGCACTTACGGTTCCTTACTCGCGTTAACCATCTCGGGATCCTCCCCGCAAAATCGTTGCCGTGCCGCCCGTCGCCGCCTGCCGCCGTCGCCGCCCGTCGCCGCCATCCCCGCCCGTCGCTGCCAGTGCCGCCCGTCGCCGCCCGTCGCCGTCGCCGCCCGTCGCCGCCTGTGCCGCCTGTCGCCGCCCGTGCCGCCCGTCGCCGCCCGTCGCCGTCGCCGCATCGCGTACAGTGCGCCGTGCAAATTGCATGACATAGGTTGCATCGCATACGTTGCACCACAAATATTGCACTGCATAGACTGCATCATATAGGTTGCATCGCATACATTGCACCACATAGAGTGCACCGCTTGGATTGCATTACGTAGGTTGCATCGCATACAGGGCACCACGCATACATTGCATTGTACAGATTGCATCGCATACATTGCACCACACATCGTGTGTATTACTTAGGTTGCATCGCCTACACTGCGCCACGTAGAGTGCACCGCGTAGACTGCATTACATAGGTTGCGCCGCAAACATTGCACCACATATATTGCACCGCATTGGTTGCATTACATAGGTTGCAGCGCACATATATTGCACCGCACGTGCTGCATTCCATAGATTGCGTGGCAAACACTGCATCGCATAGCTTGCATCGCATAGGCTGCTTTACGTAGGTTGCATCGCGCGCATTGCATCACACATATTGCACCGCGTATCGTTTATACTACATCGGTTGCATCGTATACATGCTTCTTTCTAACAAGAGAATAAACTCTCCCCCCGGGAATCAACGGGTCACCTTTTCCATTTTGCAATTTACATATGATTCTGCCACATCGTCCATCCTAAAAATGAATTCATAGTATCCCAACCAAACCGGTGTCGCCCCCCTGGCATCCGTTGCAACAAATATTATGAGCGCATTCTCATTTATCAAAATTCATAGGTTTGCGAGAACCCCTTGCACAAAAAAACCCGGACGACGTGCACACGCGAGCGTCGTCGCGCGCGCATGCCGAAATCTTTCAAGCGTTCGCTTTCGCAAGGATTTCAAAAGCGAGTTTCCAAAACACATGCAAAAACATAGGGTTCCGCAACACAGAATAGCTAAAACGTCTTACGCGCCCGCTCTTGCGAAATCTTAAGAAAACCATATGCTTTTCAACACTTTCGAGACATTCTACCAAACAGGCTTCGCGCGCGCATGCCGTAATTTTTCGAACGCCCCTGCGCCCGTGACGTCGCAAGAATCTTTTGCAACAAATGGGCCGAAGGGCGCACGCGTGCGTCGTCGCGCGCGCATGCCGAAATCCTTCAAAAACCCAGGTTTCGGGAGAAATTCAAAATCGCCTGTCCGAAAAGCATACAAAAACACTGGGTTTCGCAACACGGATTTTCAACAAAAGCGTGCGCGCGCTCTCTTGCGTCGCCGCCGCCGTCTCCGTCTTCCCTCCTCCCTCGTCGTCGTCGTCGTCGCCGTCGCCGTCGTCGTCGTCTGTCTTTCCTCGTCATCGTCGTCTTGGCGTCGTCGTCGTTACCGTCGTCGTTGTCGCCATGGTCGTCCGTCCGCCCTCGTCTTCGTCGGCGTTTTGTCGTTGTCTCTCCTATTTCGTCGCCGTCGTCGTCGTCGTCGTCGTCGTCGTCGTCTTCCCTCCTCTCTCGTCGTTGTCGTCGTCGGCGTCGCCGTCCTCCCTCCCTCTTCGTCGTTCGCATCGTCGCCGTCTTCCCTCCTCCCGCGTCGTTGCCGTCGTTGCCGCCGTCGTCCTCCTCCCTCCTCCCTCGTCGTCGTCGTCGCCTTCGTTGGCGACGTCGTCGTCCTCGTCCTCGTCGTCGGCGTCGGCGTCGTCGTCGTCGGCGTCGTCGTCGTCGTCGTCGGCGTCGTAATCGTTGTCGTCGTCGTCGTCGGCGTCGTCGTCGTCGTCGGTGTCGTCGTCGTCATCGTCGTCGTTGTCTGCGTCCTCCAAGTCTTCGGAGACGTCTCCGGTGTCGTCGTAGTCGTAGTCGTTGTCGGCGGCGTCGTTGTCGTCGTTGTCGCTGTCGTCGTCGGCGTCGGTGTCGTTGCGAAGTGCCATTTGGTACCCACCGTCACGGTCTTAAGAGGTTTTGTAAACCAAGTTGCGGGTGGGTGGGTGGGATGTTTGCGCGAGCAGTGGAGTGGACAACTCTTTGCGAACAGAAGTTACTGGCACCACATAGATTGCACCGCATAGTATGCATTACTGAGGTTGCATCGCATGTATCCTCCTACTGAAAGAAGAATAGACTCTACCCCCCTCCCGGAGTTAACATGTCACCTTTTCGTATTGCAATTTGCATATGGGTCTGCCCCATCGTCCATCCGACCTGTGAATTTCATACTATCCCAGCCAGGCCGGTATCACTCCCCTCCGCCCCGCCACCCTCCGCAAAAAGTGCTATGCGCGCACTCTCGTTTCAATAATCACAAGTATTCAAGAATCCTTTGTTACAAATGACGCGAAGTGCACACGCGCGCGTCGTCGCGCGCTTGGCGCAATCTTTCAAAAATCCTCGAGTTCGGAAGGATTTCGAAATCCAGTTTCCAAAACACATGCAAAAACATAGGATTTCGCAACATTGAGTTGCTAAAAAAACTTACGCGCGCTCTTGCGACATCTTCAGAAAATCACATACATATATATATATATATATATGTAAAAAATAAGAAGAAGGAGAAAAACATACTACCAAACGGGCTTCGCGCGCGCATGTCGAAGTCTTTCGAACGCCCTTGCGCGCGTGCCGTCGCGAGAGTCCTCTGACACAAAAACGGGACGAAGTGCGCACGCGCGCGTCGTCGCGCGCGCATGCCGAAATCCTTCAAAAACCTGCGCGTTCGGAAGGAGTTCAAAATCGAGTTCCCACAACACATGTAAAAACACACGGTTTGGCAACACGGATTTTCAACAAAAGCGTGCGTTCGCGCGCTCTTGCGTCGTCGACGTCGTCGTCCTCCTTCCTCTCTCGTCGTCTTCGTCGTCGTCGCCGTCGTCATTCTGTGTTTCCTCGTCGTCGTCGTCGTCTTGGCGTCGTCGTCGTTTCCGTCTTCGTTGTGGCCGTGGTCGTCTTTCCTCCTTCGTCGTCTTCGTCGGCGTTTCGTCGTTGTCCCTCCTATTTCGTCGGTGTCGTCGTCGTCGTCGTCTTCCCTCCGTTGTCGTCGTTGTCGTTGTCGGCGTCGCCGTCCTCCCTCCTTTTTCTTCGTTCGCGTCGTCGCCGTCCTCCCTCCTCCCGCGTCGTTGCCGTCATTGCCGCCGTCGTCGTCCTCCCTCCTCCCTCGCCGTCGTCGTCGCCTTCTTTGGCGACGTCGTCGTCGTCGTCGCCTTCGTCGTCGTCGTCGTCTTCGTCGGCGTCGTCGTCGGCGTTGTCAGCGTCGTCGTCGCCGTCGTCGTTGTCATCATCGTCGTCGGCGTCGGCGCCGTCGTCGTCGTCGTCGGTGTCGTCGTCGTCGTTGTCGGCGTCGTCGAAGTCGTTGGAGACGTCGCCGGTGTCGTCGTAGTCGTTGTCGGCGGCGTCGTCGTCGTCGTTGTCGCTGTCGTCGTCGGCGTCGGTGTCGTTGCGAAGTGCCATTTGGTACCCACCGTCACGGTCTTAAGAGGTTTTGTAAACCAAGTTGCGGGTGGGTGGGTGGGATGTTTGCGCGAGCAGCGGAGTGGAGAATTCACTGCCAGAAGAAAGCAATTCCTCCACATAGATTGCACCGCGTAGACAGGATTTCAAGATCGAGTGTCCAAAACACATGAAAAACACAGGGTTCGCAACACGGAGTATCAACAAAAGCGTGCGCGCGTCTTTGCGAATTCTTAAGAACACCATAGGTTGTTCAGTCTTTTCATACACTGGTATCAAGCGGGCTACGCGCGCGCATGTCGAAATCGTTCGAACGTCCTTGCGCACGTGTTGGGGTGGCACGGTCCGTGTCAAGCAATACCATGCGAGCCACTTTCGCGCGTCTGCCGCGCGCGCATTTCGAAATTTTTCCGAAACATTCATCACCGACGAGAAGACGCCGTCATCGTCGCCGGCGCGATCAGCATCGGCGCCGTCATTGGCTGCCCCTTCGTCGCTGTCAGCATCGTCGCCAGCATCGCTACTACCATCATCGTGTCTACCTTTGTCGACGTTGCCATGATACCGCGCTCGCCGACGTCGCCGACTCGCACTGAAGTGCCTGCTGGGATGTGCCGAGCGGTCAGCGCCACCGCGTTCGCGTCGGGCGCGCCTAACTAGCTGGCCTCTGCGAGCGCGAGCATGTGCGGGCTAGCGCGACCGCAGAGATGCACCAGCCAACACCAAACACTCATCGCAATCGCTTCCGCATGGGGTTTGCAAACCAAGTTGCGGGTGGGTGGGTGGGATATTTGCGCGAGCAGTGGGGTGCACACTTTCAAGTTGAGCACTGGTGAAGTGCACCACATAGAATGCACCGCGTAGGCTGCATTACACATGTTGTGTCGAAAACATTGCACCACATAGATTTCAGCGCGCAGGTTGCATTACATCGGTTGCATCACA